GGGATATCTATTTCTCTGCAATGAATATAAAGGGAGCTTCAGGTGACTAATTCACAAAGTACTATAGGTATCTACATTTGTTCAGATGAAACCCACCCTAAACGTGCTCTTGAAGAGAAATGTGATGTATCTTAAGGCAAAGAAAACTATGCAGGATGAAAAGAGAATATAGAAGAAGTAGGTCAGAAAAATAATTTAAATTTCCAGGATCAGTTGCTAAGAAATTACCATAATCAAATCTCCTGTAAGTTCTGAACCATGCCTTGTTATATTACTAAAACTCAACTTTAAAACAGTTTATTAGCTTACACAGCTACAACCTGGGAAAATGTATGGAGAAAATGTGGAATGGAAAGACACAATCCATGAGTGGCTGGAATAAGCATTGTACAACCAGGTATGAGAAATAAAGACCATATACCAGAGAGGGAAGGGACACTTGCTTCTTGATTTCTATTTGAAAACTGAAGAGAAAGGTCTATACTACATCAAATTCATTCCTTTGAATTTCCCTCACTCTGCTTGGCCAGCATAACCAATCCCCAAAGCATTCAAAAACATATGAATATTTCTGAACTACCCCAGGGCAATGTAAATAAAAGTTTGCCTTGATTCAAATGGAACACACATTTACCACTACCTGATAAAAGGCAGGCAGTGCCTGAACCCATCCCTCTGTGGGAGTGGGACTCTCCATCAGCTGGTAAGGAAGGAGGAGCTTTGAGGACAGCCAAGCTGTCAGGGAAATCAGCCTGAGGAGATGTGCTAACCCTGCTTTTGGAGGCTTTCAGAACCTGATGGGACTAAATGAATTTCCACAGTCTCTTCCAACCTACGTGGTTCTGTGTGCATGTGAGTCTTTCAAATATGCACATATATTAGAAATCAATTATCATTAATTATTGATTGCTATTAAATATTCATTAACATTAATTAGCATAAAATTCTAATTTTCAAGGAACAATGCATAGTACAAATCTTCTAAATTAAATAGGGGTAAATATGTAACACCTTTGGATAATTGAACATAAGAACTCTCTCTGACATCTTTATTTTTCCTTCTGCCTAGCACTGAAGGTGATCTTGCCTAAACAAAACCAAAAGAAAATGTATAAACATGCTTTTGTTGCATGTCCACAAACAAAGTCAAAATATAAGACTTGTTTCAACTACTTACAAGCTGTGAGTATTTCTTTTTGCAGACAGAGAGATGTTCCTCATGAAACTATTTCATTTATAGCTACTTCTATCAGAACCACCAAAATTCTGTAAAAATTGTCCTGATTAGGTTTATTTCTTTTCTACTTACTTCTTTTAGGACAGAAAGGACAGTTCAGAAATATGAAAAGAAAAATCTATATCAGGTTTATATTCCTGTATATAAATGCTACTTACTTTAAAAGCAAAATCTTAAGCTCAGGCTAGTTAGTCATCTGAAGTCTTTAAAAAAAAGACATAAACCACAAATCTTACACTTAATTAATTAATTAGTAATTACACTAAAAATCTGCTGTAACTTCATTCTTGTAAAGCAACATCTTTCACAATGGCCACAGATTTCATACATAGACAATCTGTAACACACTTGTCTATACTTAATTTTGCAGTCCATGCTTAATAAAACAAAAAAGGCTTTTCTTAATTTAAAAACTTGATTATGTAGTGTAAATAATGATATAGAATGACAGGAGTGAAATCAAAGTACCCATTTAAACACAGTTAAGGGGTTTTAAGAGAACAGTAGTAACAGTACTGAGTTTTGGGGTTTTTTTAAATGTGTACCTTTTCGTCAGCCTTCGCTCTGTACTCACAAATAATAAGTCAAAAACTTCTGTAACCTCAAAGAAAGGAATTTGCATTTTATCGTTGAAAGAATTTGCATTTTATCATTGAAGTTGGGAATACTCTCTGTGGGATCTGATTCTGCCTTAATTCTAGCCTCTATCACTGTAGTTAAACTTCAATAGTATTGCACTTGGTATTTTTCCATGTGATAACAAAATCATCCCCTAAACAGTTGCATTAATTATATAATGGTGGCCCATTAGTTAAATCTGAGACAGATTCCACTGATCTTTTATTTCAAAGCTTAAAGTATTCCTGAGGCAACCAGTTTAACCTCTAAAGATAATTTTGATATTGTGGGTATAATTCATCCCACATTCATTTTCATCAGAAAAGTAACCAAGGTATCTAAACATGGGTGTCTACACCAATTAGATCTTCCAGGATGTCTTCTACATGGAGTTATAAGGAATGGCAGAGAGACTATTTAGAAACATGTATCTTTCTTTGCAAGAAAGATGGGATAGGTATTTCTTGAGCTTGAGAGTACATTCAACATCAGAATTCCATTTTGGAACATATTTAATAGCATCAATATTAGCATTGGATAAGTATTATTTAAGTCTGAACTATTTTATTAATGTCTTTTTATTGGCAACAGGAAGAAGTAAACACTTCAGAATATATTCCTTATTAATAATTTTGCATCTCTGTATCTATCTATATATATATATCCCAAATGACATACCAGAAGCAGTCATTTCTTTGCACTGAGTATAAAGGAAACACAGTAATTGCCTGAATCTCTGTGCTTTCAATCACTTTTATATCTACTGAGCATATAAGTGGGCATTATGATATCATACGATTCAAGTAACTTCCTTTCTCCTATCTAATCTAAATAGCCTGTCCATTAGTTGCTACAGCACTGCATGATGAACACAGAGGAAAAGAGAAGAGAGAGAGCTAAGAGATGTCTGTTTTAGACTGATAGCACACTTGAAGAGAGAGAGGGAAGATTCATAACAAGGATGAAAGATGCACTTATTCTGCTTTGCCATGTGTTATGTTATACAGAGGCATAATCACAATGATATTGCCAAAATAAAATACATCAACAATTGCACAGTATCTTCAGGTGTAAAGTAAATATAAGAGTGTGATACATGAGGCAACTGATAGTCTCAAGTGTACCTCTCAGAAGGGGTTATTTCAGATATTCTGCTCAGAGGTGAACAGTTAGTGATCACATGCTGGTTTGTAAATGGTTTACATTGAAGCATTTGTGTAGATAACTGTTTTAACACAAGATATTTTTTCCATCAAAGACTTTCACTCAAACCTTTGTTTAAATAAATTATGTTTGATAGGTCACCCTAACCCTCTGTGGCTACTGATTACAATACATATGCTAAAAAATTGCTGCAACTAGCTATGCAACAAGAGAAGTCAAGCTTTGCTGATGAGTCAGGGATGAGGTTCAGTGAGATAAAATGAACAGTACAGGCTCAGCTCAGGACACTGATTTCATTCTGCCATCAGCTGTACAATTATTGATCTCGGCAGTTTAAAAGAAAAGCATGTATTTGATGTAGCTGGCAGCAGCCTCCCAGTTAAATTGCTCATCAGCTGGCAGACTATTCTGTAAGCTTTGTTACAGAGCAGTTCAGCAAATTAACACCATTCTTGTATTTCTCACCATACCTAAGACAGTAAGGAATCTGAAAACTATTTAAATATTTTCAGTCATAGCCCTAATGGGTGTAAATGCAGCCCATTGCCCTAAACAAGTGGAAATGCAGCCTGTGTGCATGGAACCTGCTGTTTGCCAACTGATCAGGAGGAATTCATGACACCAAGTGCAGCTTTCTCTTCAGCTCAAAAGGTGTGTAAGAGAACAAATAGAGAAGATCAGTGTGTGAATCACAGATTTGGGCCTACAGTGCTTGGGAAGAAAGTCTTTGGGGATAACTTGTTATTGATAGGTGATAAACTTTGGCTTAGGTGGTTCATAAATAGGTTTACACAGTCAAAAATACAGTGTTCTTCCTTTCTTTTTCTCGTGTCTCAAATAAATTCAAGGTAAGAAAGGGGAGAAAACAGGGACAGAAAAGCTTTTCCTAAAAATGTCGAAAAGTAAAATATTGCCAGAAAGGGATAATGAAAAAGGTAGATCTAAACTTAAAGCTACTTCTGTGCATGTTTGTATCTGATCTTTACATAAACACTCCAGCACCACACATTGTTAATATAATATCTGTAAAGGAATTAAAGTACAGGCCTGTACGAAATGATCTCATTCCCTAAAAGAAATCCTAGCTGAGGTCTGAAGAATGAGAGCACAAATATCTAAAATCTAAAGGATAGCTGAGAGAAGTACCAGGGCTATGTAGGAAAGATTGTTGTCCGAAGAGAGATGGGGAGGGTGAGAAGAGTCAGAAGTAGCAGTTAGGAGTAACCTCAGAGAGGGAAAAGCCCAGAAGACAGAAACTGGTCTTAGAGAAGGGAATGGCAGCCCAGCCAAGTGGAGGGATAGCACTTGTACAAACTCTCTAATGGGGTATACATAAGGGGTCAATAAGAGGTTTTCTTGCAGGAAGATATAATGAATAGAGAGGGAAAACATTATGGAGACAAATACAGGTGGTCAAGTGAATCAACCTCCAGGGCATACCATTACCACCCTTCCAAGAACTCCCTTCGAGGGTGTAGGTATATTTGTTAAGGCAGCCTACAGCACAGTGACCACGTTTTATTTAGTGCATGTATAACATCTCACACAGAGGCCTTGATTGCTTGAGAGCACCTCGATATTAACATTGGATACAAGTGCTTCCTACAAGTATCAAATGTAGTAAACAACTGAAGGAAGAGAGAAGGAGGAACTAGATGACCATACATGCTCTCCACCCAAGCACACCCTAACAAAAAAGGACTAAATGTGAGCTGTTTTACTGTCTCCCCTTACAGCTCCTTCCTGATCCAGGAAAATTGCACCTAAATAACAATGAATGTTATTGCCACAGCAGAAGGATTTCCCCACCTGTTCCACCTGTTAGGTAGAAATTAGAACAGTGATGTACATACTGCATGTTTATAAACATTCATAAGGTGACTATAAATATAAGAAAGTAGCTCGCACGATTATGTCATAAATCACTTTACTTTGAAGGAAAGGAAGCTGAACTTAGGAGATAATTTACATATATACTTACCACTGTAAGTACATTGTGATACATCTTTCAATTGTTCCTCTGCAGAAGACTGAAATCCTTACAGGCAAGGTCTAAAAGTTTGGGTTTTTCTGATTACATAATGGCCAAATGTGTCCTGCAGCCACTGCTGTTAAGTGGCTGACAAGATGCATGACCCCACCAGGGAATAATAGCTCAGCATGTTGCAAGAAGCCCACTTGAACTCTTCTGGCAAGAGCAAGTGAGTCATTCATTATCCCACAGCTGAATCTATTGAAGACTTATTAACACTAATTCACAAGAAAGGGGCTTGTTTGATTCCCAGCAGGGATGGAAAACCTGAACTAGACTGTTATTAAAGGGCACCTGGTATTAAGGTAGTACCTCACAAAGTAATACAATTCTAAAGTGATATTAGTACGATCATCTGAAATATATTTGACCTAAATATTAGTATTGAATTACTATGCAATTACTGTTCTTTACCAAAACAAAGTTGCCTTAACTATAATATTTAGCATAACTCCTATGCTCCAAAAATTATCTGAACTCACTCCAGTTATTCATGACCAAAAGCTAAGTCTGCCTGTTAAAATTTCTTTAATGCTTGTTTTAGGAATTCAAACTGATTACCATATAAAAATCTATCATGAACTAATCCAGAAGGAATTAAAGAACAATACAAAGTTTTTCAAGGTACAATAAAAAACATTAAAAATTACTAACACTTGCAATTTAAACATTGCTGTCACAGGAAACCAGAAAGTAGAACTGGAATTAATTATATTGATCATAATTTTTCTGTCTATGGAAGCCAAGAGTAAACAAAAGCTCTAAACTGAAACTGGAAACAGAATCTGGAAATACATTCTATATTCCTTAAGAACTTTGAAAACCCAACAAAATGTTTCAGAGTTAGGTTTACTTGTGTATTTGCATTTAAAAAAGAAGTTTTCATTCTAGTTGCACCAGCTTCCTCTGTGTAAATCCACATGCAGGCTATATTTTGGGATAAAACCACCTTGAAATATTTTCTTAATCAATAAAGGTGAACTGAAAAGAATGATAGAGCAATTTGGAAATCTGTAATGAGCTAAATTTTCAATTTTTTAAAAAATATTTCTAGACCACTAGTTAAAAATAATTTTGTCAATATTTGTTAATAAGAACATCTTAATTTTACTTTTTAAATTATTAATTGTTTAAGCAAATTTTAAAATTCTGCCATGATTGTTTAATACAGTCTTATGCCTTGCTGTCATGTTTTGAAAATAGCTGAAATGTCTAAAATAGAGAGAAATGAAAGGTACAGTCCTGAAAACCTTGTGGATGATGCACAATCATGAAATTGCAAAATTCTAAATAAATTGTCAATGCATCTTGCATTTTAATTAACAGTTTCCCAAATTACTTTTCTGGACATCACCTTTGGCATTTCATTCTGTCTTAGGAGCAGCCTGGTGCGACAATGAAGACTGACAAGGAAGCATTTATTTGTTTATACATTAACAAAGTATTCTCAAGGTGTCTTTAAATGTACTTTAGGATCAGAACCACCTATATGATGTGCAGATTGTTTTTTTCTTTCTCAGAATGTGAAGAAATAAATGGTCCCCAGAAGAAGGTGGGATTTAGCAGTTAAACCCTTTTGGTTTCTCATACCTGCTCCTTCAGAGCTAGGAGCACTAACCTGCTTGGCACACCACTCTCTGGAATCCTGCTCTGCCATGCCCAGCTCCTGCCCTGCTCAGCTCAGGGAGCCTGACACACAACTCTGGCGTCCACTTCAGGGAGAAGACTAAAAGCCAGGCTCTTCAGAATTCACTGTGTTCCTTTTGTTTTCAAATGAGATCATTTGTCTGATCAAAGAGAAAATATTCCTTGTAGGATGAAATATTTTTTTTAATTTGAGCCACTGGGGTTTTTTTACATGCAGTTACAAAAGATTTCATAAGGATGTTTATCACACCAAAATGTGACAAACACTGCAGATACACCCAGCTGACATTAATGCTGTATTTTGGTATGTGGAGTCAATACCCTTTAACACTCAAAGCACTATTTATGTAGTAGACTTAAGTTCTTTAAAAGAGACTTTAAAAGAATGATCATTTTTAAATGTGAATAAATGGTTAGAGAACAACAAAGCTTTCTATGGGCTGTTAGGAGAGCCTCATAATAAAGTGATTACATTTGGTTGTCTATTTTAAAATCTTCCTGTCAGTGAACCACTTTTAATATCTCATACTGAAGCTGCACACTCAGGACCTGCAAGCATTTCCAAAAGTGGCCATGAATTTTCAAACTGATTATAGCAACCTGACAGAAACATTTTTAAAAGCTTGACCTGGAAAAGTGCTGAGCAATTTTCTAAAGTATTGGACAGCCTTGAACCCAATTGTTTTTAGGGAAAGTTGTGGCTATTCACTGAATTTTAGGAATACTCAGCATTTTGTGAGATTTAACTCTGAAGATCCTTATTGAAAGTCAATGAGAGTTAGTTTCCTAAAACTCAGTGTCTCTAAAATATTTCAGTAGTTGAAATCAATGTAGTCAGCTCCCTAAATGCATTTGAAACTCAGAGTTTTCACTTTGCAGAGTGCAGTGCCATGATGCCTGACTCCAGTGTAAATGTTCAGAATAACTGAAGGATATATTGATGGATTTTCACGTCTGCCACCTTTCCAACATATTTTTAACTGCCAAGGAAACAATAAGTTAGGAGAGGAAAAGGCCTTTAGTAATAAGCCTAGAAAATTAACTTTTTAATTTGTGTCATATATAGCAGAGATATCTCAGTTTTGCAGTGTTCAAGGAAAATAGAATGGAGAAAAGGAAATAAAGATAACATTGGAAGATAACAACAAAAACTTTATTTATCAGTCCAGGTATTTGTGCTCCTTATAAAAGCAATACAAATGCATTGCAGTTATTTCACCTGTAAATAGTATGCTATTTATAAAATTTCAGTGTTACTTTGAAAAAATGCATCACTACAGCATTTTTTCATAAGTAATACCAGAACTGGGTATTCAGCAGGCACAGCACATTGCCCCAAAGGGAATAAGCATATGAAATTTGCATACCATTTGGCAGAAGACAAGACTAACCAAAAATATCCTTCTGCCATCTGAAGAGCCTGATAAGGCCTTCAGTGATGGTCACAGATCTGAGTCCCTCATCTTCCATGACTTCCCTCTGTAGCACTTTGCAAAGTCATCAGTGGAGAAGAGGCCAATTCAGCACAGTAGCCAAGATATGGAGAAGTTCATAGTCTCTCCAAAATGCAGTCTCTAAGTGTCTATTTGGCAGATGGACCAAGCTTTGTTCAGAAGTTTCCTCAAGACCTGCCTCCTCCACACTCCCAGCAGGGTAGGCTTTTCCCCACGTATCTCGAACAGGGGAAAAAGAATGCTCACCGTCCAAGTATTGGTAACACCAGCAGTACTGCCTACAGCAAGGTCATTATTACTCAGACTATTTTACCAAATTTTTTGTTAGGATAGTAAAATAATCCATTTTATACTTGTCCCAAGCCTTACAGGAACAATTTGGGTGTTAGTCTGATTGTGTCAATTAACTGATGTGCCCCACACAGCAGCACCAGGAGCACTGGCCTTGCCCTGGCAGAGCCCTCCTCAGCCACCTGCTCGTGCAGAACCTGTTCAAGAACAGGAAGCACAAAGAAAAGACAGCTGAAGTTATGAGTTTGCAATGTGTTTTCTCTGAGCAGAGTTTAGCACTATAGTTTTTGATTAATTTGGGATAGGTATTTTGTCATGCAATTAAAATGCAATTAGACTACTGTCCTGCAATATTGACTTGATTTATAATCTGCTGCTTTAAGTAAATTGTTTTAATATCTCTCTTGAGTCTTTCTCCAGATACTACTTTTTATTAATACATGTGGTTTAGGAGACATTTAATCTCATTTTAAATAAAAGGAAAAGAGAAATTGAGTGCAATATATATAAAAGCAGGCATTAACCATTTATGCAGTAAACCAAATCAAGATACAATTGGGATGACCTCAGCAATCAAGGGTTTTCTACATGGTTATGTGTGGTTTGTTTCTGTCCCCCAGATCCTAACATCTGGACAAAAATGAATAGAGTCTATGCTCTCAGCAAATAAAACCCAGAGCACTCAAAACCAGCAGAAGTGCTTGGACACCCTGAGCAAGGAGTGCAGCTCTGGTTCCACCTGCCCTACCTCGTCAGCTTGTGGAGCATGGAGCTGGCTGTGAAGGGTTGTGGCAGCTGTCACTGCTCTGTTCCTTCCTTCAGGGACATTGCATTTGATTTTGGGTAATGCTTCCATCAGCTGCCACAAGAGCTTCTCTTCACACAATGCATAGCAACCTGGAAAAGTTGTGAAGTTAGAATTTATTGCTAAGTATTTGTGAGCTTAGGTTTATTCTGAAGATGATGAGTCAAATGAACCTTAATGGGTTAGTCTTATCATTAGAAATTACAGCCTATGACCAGTGGTATTTAGGTCTGTTACATATGCTTGGGATTCACCACAAAAACCTCACCTGCTCAAGCTATACCTCATCTTGCAGCTTCATTGGTGAGTAACTGGGCAGGAAAGAATTCAAAGCTGGAGTCTAATTGTCTGAAGTGTAACCTCACCTAGCTCCACTTCCCTTTCACTTTTAAAAGCAAGACTAAATATTTTGTAATTTAGATATACTATTGAGGATTTCCATTCTTTAGTATAAACAATTTATAGTGGAGCACAGAATTCTGTACTGAAGTAATATTTTTAGTATGTCGTGTCACTTCTATTTATCCTTCTCTTGTATGTACAGTTGAAAATATTTATATAATACAAAGACAATTTTAAAAAAATCCAACTGCATTAATTTCCAGTTTAACTCAGTATAAGGTAACTGTTAAATTAGTGTATATGCTATTATATACAACTAAGCAAAGCTAAATATGAAAAGCTTACTGGTTCAGGAAAAAAAAAAAAACAAAACCAGCATAATTCTTATTGTTTTTTTCTTATTTTTTGAAATTATTTGAACGAAACTGTTCTCTTGCTTGTATTTATTTACCAACAGCGCACAAAAGTGTGCTTCAGTTGCTTTTCAATACTTTTATTTATTTAAAAATCAATTTTCTCACCATCACATCCACTGTAGATAACAGTTTCTGTACATGCAATAGTGTCATTTTAGAGCAGCTTATATATTTTTCAGAAAAAATCCAG